GCGGCTCGTCGGCTCGGCAGCTCGGCTGCTGGGCGGCTCGTCTGCTGGGCGGTTCGGCTCCTAGGTGGTTCGGCTGCTGGGCGGCTCGGCTGCTGGGCGGCTCGGCTGCTGGGCGGCTCGGCTGCTCTGTCGCTGGGCGGCTCAGTTGTGCTGCTGCAGGGCGGCACGGCGGACGGCCGCTCGGCCGGGTGAGACGGCTCGGGCGGCTCGGATGGCGGGCGGCGCTACAGTAGGTGACGGGGCCGAGAGTAAGGCGGCAGGGCCGCAGGTAGGGTGGCGGGGCCACTGATAGGGTGGCCGGGCTGTAGGTAAGGTGGCGGGGCCACAGTTAAAGTGGCGGGGCCGTAGGTAGGGCGGCGGGGCCGCAGGTAGGGTAAGGCGGCGGAACCACGGGAAGGGTGGCGGGGCCGCAGGTAAGGCGGCAGAGCCTCGGGTAGGGGCGGCTCGCGACGCCGCGAAGGGCGGCGACGGGCCAGTACGGGCGGCGACGGGCCGGGCGGCGACGGGCCGGTACGGGCGGCGACGGGCCGGGACAGCAGCGCGGGGCCGGGACGGGCGGCGCACGGGCGTCGACGGGCCGGGACAGGCGGCTAAAGGGCGGCGCCGGGCCGCGTAGGGTGGCGACGGGCCGCTAAGGGCGGCGATGGCCGAGGAAGGGCGGCGGAAGGGAGGTCGTTAGGGGCGACGCGACGGGGCCGAAGGAGGCCTAAGCAAGGCGCGCTCCGGGCAGGAAAAAAAATGTTCGGTTTTGGTGGGCCCTAAGAACAGTTCCCACGAGGGAACCTGCTCGATACCATGAGAACAAACAAGAATGAATGAACTATGAATGAAGTGGGTACAAGTACTAACCCTAATTGGGTTGTACCCCCTATGGGATACCCCACTACAGCCTACACAAAAGTATAAGCTATATAATGTTCTGACATGTTTCATATCATGCATTATGTCGTATGACCCAATAACATATAAATGGCGTATGGTTTGCGTACTATTATACATCAGGCCCTACGATATCATGAATTTTCCCCTGAAATTCCTGATTTTCAGCCTAGTTTTGTGTACATACACTGAATTTTCAGTGTTGAGATTTTTGTGACACTGATTTTTTCAGCCTTTACTTCATAGCTAACACTGATGTTTCAGACTTTTATCGAAGTGTACGCTGAATGCACATTCCGAATCCTTCCCGTAAAACACCCGAGACAATAAGTCAACCAACATTTCCACATAATAAAATCTTGTGTAAAAAATACTGATCGTTGACTCGATGAACTGGCTTAGTGGTTAGCGAAGTAGATACCGAATGGTAAGGGTGCTTGAATCCCTCTACTACCATGTTTGTTAAGGCTACCCTCTTGCTCAATTGCATGATGTGATTCAAAATTCAGGCTTTTGTTTTCCGAAACCCTGAAAATTCAGGCCTTTTTTTGAAGGAACCCTGAAATTCAGGCTTTTTTTCACAGGGACTCTGATGCATCAGCGTCCCAAAAAGTGAATCTGAGGGCCTGTTATACATGTGCTGCAATAACCCTTACTGGCTGGGGTCGAAAAGCCAATTTTGCTATCAGATTACCAATTATGCCACGTCTTTGGTTGTGTCGCTTCATAACAGCTTATTTGTATATTAACATAGCAGCGCTGGATTTGAAAATCACGTGGAGGAGTAAGTATGGGTGTGCAGGACCTTGGAGTGAATCAAAACATACCTTGTTTCGAGACCTTATCACAAGCGTAAGCACTTGCAACAGTGCTTGGGTTTTCTAGGCTGGTGGAAGTAACCGAACCCTAGAAAGATGGCAAGCAAATGCATAATGGGCGACAAATGTCAAAAAGTACACAATGGTTTAGGAAGGAAACCGCGCTATCAGATATGTCTGAGTGCGGCAAATTCTGCTTATACGCAGCGTGCTAGCATCGTTATGGACACTTTTGTGTTCTACAAACCGTTTCATAATACAGCCTAAGCCAATGTAGCGTGAAACAAGGTGTATTGTCTACATCTAGACAACCTGCACGATAAACAGTCTCTTTTTGTTTTGTTCGGGTTGTGGTGGCATGTCGTGTCTCTCTTTTCTCCACGCAACACTTCAACGCGGCACTGGCTTTGGGGGATTGGATTTGCCCTTTTGGTCTGGCTGGGGGAGAGCACATTGCTGCTTCTGGGTGAGGGCGATAGGGTGGAGGTTGATGATTTCGCGGTGAGACAAGGGCAGGTCAGGAGGGCCCGGACCGGAGCGACACCTAGCCAGATTGTCGAGCCTCCTGAACCAATTCTCCTTCGAAGCGTCAAGGGACACGGTCAAATATGCGTGACTCTCTCCTTCATCCTCCCTCGATCCGACCGAAACTCTGTGCTCCATCCTTTCTGACTGGAGCGCGTTCAAGCGCACTTTGCAACAATCAGCGGGTCGTATTGTTCTAGCTCGGATCAATTATATGTAACCTGACGAGCGCAGTGTGCCTGATTACCATTTCACGAATTATTATACGAACCAAAAATCGCAAACCACGGAAATACGCTGAGATTGCTACCAGGTGTTGGATCGACACATGTTTCGCAAATACGTAAACATCGAGTATGAATTTTAATGAGTCGATTCCAGGGTTCTCAGTGCGTTCCTCTTTCATCCTTGCGTGCACGCCCTTCCGTTACTTCCCATTTTCCCTCGGTCGTCCCTCAACCAGCTTTTCTGCCAATTCTCTAACATCACTCTCCACCCTGTGTCAGGAGTTGTCAGGAATGATATCATGCAACCAGCAATTTTTTTTCTCGCCTGTCTGTGTTTCATACAGCATTAGAACAAGTGGCACCGTTTTAGCAGATCTCCTATTTGACCACCGTTTTAGTATAAGTGACTAAAGAAATTCTTTCCGCGCGCTACCAACATGCCTATCATTAATCTGATGCGGCCGGAATTACTAGTTGATGAAAAACTTTGGCGTCCCTGTAGAGAGGAAACTAGACCCGCAGATGTTGAATCTCAAGGCTTGATGCCGCCAGTAGTAAACAGCCGCGGTAATATTACTACTTTATCCAGAAAACCAGGATATCCTGGGCGTCTAGCTTGTTTTCGAGCAGCGCGCGTGTTATTCGCCGTCGTCATGGTTAGCTCCGCGGCAATGCTTTGCATTTTCTCCCCTCCACCAAGTCTGCTCGGCAAATCAAATTCTCATCATCTCCACAACGGTTTCCGCGGAGGCGTCACCATTTCTGCGGCGGTTTCCGTCTCGGAACGACGATCTTCGTTCAGAGAAGCAAGGACCGAAGGCAATGATGTTACGGGAAATGGCCAGACCGACATCAGCGGCGCCGTTAGCTTCGGCAAAGCTGCTTCCACGAGCGACATGGCTCGCAACGGCGGCTTGTGCATCGCCATCCCGTCCTCCCCGCGCGTTCCTCGGCGCGACACGCCACCTCAAAGTTCAGAATCTCAGCCGTCGGATGATGATCGCACGGTGGAGGAAGCAGCACGATCTGCTGATCGTGTGGTGGAGCTTTTGAAGGCGCTGGACGAGCGGAGAGCGAAAGGGCATTTGAAAGAGGGGGCAGTGAGAATCGTCGTGTACAGTGCCGGGTGTAACGTTGATAAACTTCCATCCGGCGGTTTGAGCGGAGAAGCTAGTACTAACGCGGATGAGAGCATCGACGGAACCGGGAGCAGCGCCTCGGAAGGAAGGTCGTACTTCAGGAGGTTGATTCGGCAAGGCCGGAGTGAAAAAGAATACAGAATACCGGATCAAGTAGTGAGTGCGTATGCACAGGAAGCCAATGTCACCAGCGACTATGCCAGATCTCTCCTTGAAGCCATTCATTCTTCCTCATCCTTGAATTACCTCGTCGAGCCACACACGCGCTCCATCACTGAAGCTTCCGCTAACTTGAGCATTCCTGTCCATGTCATCACAGCCAATCAAGCATCGTGCAACCTTCTAAACGATCCAGATCAGCTGCTCCGGACGGTGCCACGCCAGCATGTGGAAAGGGACGGATGGCAGAAGTGGCGGTGGCATGCCAAGCTGGCACTGGATTTCGTCGACGTTATGAGGGAATGCATGGCTACAAAGCCACGCCACATCCTCCTGTCACAAGACGACACGCTGCCAGTCAGAATGTGGGACCTTGGGATTGACAGATTCATCTCCAAGGATCTCAAAGACAAGCCAGATTGGGACCTGCTCTCTCTCTACCATCCAGCTTCATATTTCTGGCCAATCATGCACGGCAACAAGTACCTCGTTCCCTGCTGTGCGCAGGCTCTGCTCTTCAACTCAACTGCGGCTGCACCCATCGTTTCCTTCGTGGAGGAAAATTGGTTTGCTGCACCAATGGACCTGCTCATCCATAGGTATTTGACGGAAAAAGGGCGTCAAGCATATGTACACCAACCGTCCTTGTTTCAGCATAAAGGGGATGTGCGAAGTGGAGGGCAGGCCGCTATCGGATATCATCTAGATACTGCATTTAGAGATAATATTGTAGAGGAGAAGCACTAGTTAGATAGTCTTCCATTAGATACATCAGAGGATGAAATGTTCTCTTTCTAATGAGTTTGATAGACTGTACAGTGCATATATCAAAGGATTGGCTCCGCTGTTTGTGGTCTCCGTCTTCTGTGTCTCCTAGTGCCCCACTGGAGTGATGTTTCAGCTTGTGGACGTGCAGGTTGTCGCAGTTGTCGTTTGTCATGGTGACTGGACAGCATTGTGGGTGACCTAGCCGGGTCCACATGACAGTTTCCCACCAACTTGTCACCCAATCAGCAGAGTCGAAATTCTTTAGAATTCCTTTTATTTTCGCCAATGTTGTTCCACCATAATACGGTAGATGGTTTAGGAATGTAGAGATAAAAAACAAATAATTATGCCGTATAAGATATTCTGTGCTCCATTTTTTCCAAAGCTCTGGAGATCAACATCTCAAATCCACAAGTTTCCACCGAAGTCCCTTGACAACACAATCAACAATAGTAAGTGTACAAGCTGGCAATGAAAATGTAACCCTAAAGCTCGTCATGCTGCTCTGCAGGCAAATGTGGAGCCGACACAGTCAGCTCTGGTAACAATCCCTTCAACCCTTCTGATGCCGCCTCTGCGGAATTAGATTCTGGAGACTCTGACTGCAAGAGAGACGAGCACCCCTCCTCTAGCCGATCGTAAACTTCATGCAGCAACTTCTTCTTTGCAATACGGTACTGTAGCACCAGCTCCCTTTCCATGAGTGATTGAACCACGTCCTTTGTGCACACCTCCTCTTCCCCTTCCTCGCCTTCTCCCACTTCCTCTCTTTCCTCTTCCTCCGTTCCATCTTCCTTCTCGATCTTCCCATCCACCCACCAGCACTTCTCCAGCTGCTTCAGGCGTCGCCGATCCTCGTCGATAGGCGTGGAGCAGCTCGCCAGGGCCTGCCGAACCTCATCCCGAACCAGATCAGCTGCGGCGAGGAGGCTCGTGAGCTCGTGGTCGGTCAGGCCTATGGATTGGGCCATGTCAGCGCATGTTCCACTGTAGATGTGCCAGCCGAACCACACTGAGGCTTGGGCCAAACCTGAGTAGTTGGGCTCTGGTAGTAGTTGTGACAGCATGGGGGCCCCAAAAAAACGAGGGTTGGGTAACGGAGGGTTAAGTGAATGTTTAAGAAAGAAAACAGGCATGAGCAGGTTAAACATATGAAGGGAGATTATGCAAAATTGTAAACCATGGCAAAGAACAATATACCTTCTCTGGACGCAAACGCAAGCCATCCAAATTACGGCACAGGAGCCACGCACCTTCCCCGTAGCCAAACACGTGCCACAGCGACGCGAGGAAGAGGAGCATGCGCGGGTCCACCTGCCCTCCTGCCCACACCGCATGCGCACTGCCCTCCCCAAACACATCTGCTTTTGGCCCGCCAATCACCCCCACCTCCTCCTCCACCTTCTCTTTCGCTGCCCTCACATCCTCGCTCGTCCTCCTTAGCAGATACTCCGCCCACAGGTCGAACATGCCCTTTCTCCCCTCCTTTATAGTCACGTTCGCATAGTGCTTATAGTATATCTCTGCCAGGTCAGCTTCGGAGGCGGTGAGTTGGAACGAGTCGTGCGGGTTGTCGGCCGGCACGAAGCCGTACACCTGCAGGAACATGTCGGTGCTTTTTGTCCCGTAGCTGTTGTACAGCTGGCCGCCAGCTGGCAGGGCGGCGTAGCTCCGAACGACGATGGTGTCGGTCTGCTCGTCCGTCTGTTAGTGCAAAGGGTATGCAAAGGATGTGAAAAGGGTGTGAAAAAAGTGAATTGATTGCCAAAACGAGGGATGACAGACAGCACAGGAAGCAAATCAGAGAGCTGGGACAGCATCACAAATGGGACAGCACCTCTACTCTACTCAGAAGCCCACTCACGTGAAGCCGAAGCACCCACTGACCTGCCAGCCCATGGTGTTGGCAGCGTGGTGGTCAAACAGCTCTGCCAAGGGGAACAGCGCCGTCACATACTGTGCCTCACTGGACCCGCTGCTGCTGCTACCGCTGCTGCAGCTCTTGCCACCACCACTGCTGCTGCTGCTGCTCCCGCTGTCATCGCCGCTATTACTGTTGGTGTCACTGCTGTTGTCTTCGCTGCTGTTACCATGGCTGCAGGTGCTGCTGTTTCCAGTGTTGTTGCCTGCACTACTGCTGGCTGTTTTGCTGAAGGCCCGGGAGGACACGACAGCCACGGCCCACATGAACTCCTCCTCACCCGCATTGGCGATAGCTGCCTTGTCACACCGCTCGTACTCTGACTTGAACGTTTCTCGGTAGGAGAAGGCCTGAAGGAGGGAAGGTGGGGAGAAAGGAGGTGTAGCATTTGGGAACAGGGAAGGACGGGAACGTCACCCACTCACTCTCACACTCTCCCACTCATTCTCTCACTCACCCACTCACTCTCACACTCTCCCACTCATTCTCTCACTCACCCACTCACTCTCACTCAACCGTTCACTCACTCACCCACCCATTTGCTCACCCACTCACACACGCACTCACTCCCGACTCATTCACCAACCCACCCACGCACTCACATGGTCGATCATGCTCTGCACTTCAAACTCCTGAATCAAATCGTCTGGAAAAAACACCGGCAGCGGCACGTACTCAGGCAGCGAGCGCACATACACGCCCCACTGCGACCCCTCACTGCTCTCCACCTTGCGCTTCTCCCTCAGAATCCACGCCGCCAGGATGGAGAAGGCCGTCCACCCGGAGAGAGGCGAGACGTCGGGCGTGAGGGGGTACGGGTAGGGGAGAGTGATAGGTTGTTCTGGGGAGATGAAGGCGGAGGGGGGGAGGGAGAAGAGCGGTTCTCCCTCGACTAGATCGCGCGCTGCTACGACGGAGAGGCCGCGTCTGGGGAACGGGTGGGGCAAGGGGAGGGTGTGTGGGTAGAAGGAAGGAAGGGAGTGAGGGAGTAGAAACGAGGGGGTCGTTATAAACAAATTCGCGTGTTTCTACGATGGAAATATCATGGTTAAGATGAGGGAGGGCCATGCGGGAGGGCCTTAGGGATTGTGAGCGCTGGTGGGTCAAGTGATGTGCTGGGTGAGCGACATGAGGGCGGAAAGGAGGAGAGCAGATGCTCGCCTTCGTTAGATGTAGGCATGCGAGAAAACTGAAGTTATGACGCTGTTTTGCATGCATTGCTGCCCCACCTTCATGTCGTTTCATCCACAATGCTATCGCACCTTGTACGCGACAACCCGCGGTTACCACGTGGCTTCCCCACCACAATCTGACGTAGGAGAAGGGGAATGCGACGTATGTGACGTTGCGAGATCGGGAGGAGGAAGGTGCATCGTTGAGGGGAAAAAAAAAAAACAAGAAATAAAATGCAGAAACGTCCAGATTTCGCGAGAATAGCTTGGGGTAACTAGATGATGTAGAAAGTACCTGCAAGGGGGAGTTTGGAGTCAGTCCAGTGACTCCTCGTTCCACCAGCCAGTCCATCATGATAGAAGCAATGTGCTCTTCCGCCAAGGTTTTGTTAGAATGGACGGAATCTGTCCTACTTGACTCTGTTCCGTCAGCATTGGACCGGAGCGGTGCGATCAGCAGCAATGCTAGCAGCAACTTCCCTAATATCATCTTGAAAGCGGAATATCTGACGACGCTTCGCGAGACACAAAAGCTAAATGACGACGCTACGCGAGACACTAAATCTTATATTTAACGGAATATCTGAAGGCCCTGCGCATGAAACAACAGTCAGTCCGACGGAAATGCGTTGCCGTCAGAGCAAAGCCTTTTCCGGCGAATCTGGTCTGGTCTGATAGCAAGTGTTTCTGGGTCTGGGCTCAGTCGTCTTGCCTGAGACAACTTGTGGAGTGACAGGCGGAATTTCCAATGGGGAGGGGTAGAGGCTGACAAATCTCCAAAAAAAACTGGTTGGCTCCGTCATATCGCGTACACCACATCAAATTCAAAAAAGCTCTACTTGTTCCAGCATAACTCTGTACAGCTCATGAAATCATCTGCTTTCTTCTATTAGCATTTTTAAAGGGCCTATGTTCCAGAGACATAAAGATGTTAAAGGTCCAAGCCGCTTCGTCAGGTTTCAAGGTTTTAACATGGAGCTCCGAGTTCAGTTCACTTGACGCGGATTGGCTTCTTGATCCTGACCCGTCAGACAAACAGATTTCGTTACCGGTATCCATTGTTCAGGGAATTCATTTCGGCACTGATAATGCTGTTGGGCTGAGAATTTCAGCCTTAGGATCTTTGCAGAGAATAGGCTAGTAGGTGCTAGAGTAGCACAGCGGAAGTCTTGAGTGAATGCACTTGTGCTGGTATGTGAGAACAAGTAATTGATTAAAGCAAAGGGCATACAGGAATATATAGAAAGGATAGATTACAAGAAGCGGTTATGTTTATCGAGACGCGTAACGCTTCGACTATCGAGGTGGTTACTGTTCACTGAAGCGTCGCTTGCTGTTACGTAACCTCCAGGCGGTTACAGCTCGCAACCTCCAGTTGCGGTTTGATGTGGTACGTGCCTTTTCGACTTCGTACTCCTTTTGTTGTGCTTCAGTATCGGGTGAGGTTCGATACTACAGAAACACACTAAGTCATGCGTTTATTTTCCCAACACTCCCCTTCGTTTCTGGAGTGTCGACGTGGTCAGCTTCGGTGACGTGGTCCAATCCGGTGAGCAGCATTCAGTACTCGAATTTCCCCTTTGGTAGCTTCTTGGTGAGATAATCTGCTGCCATCTCGGTGGTCGGGCAGTAATCCAGCTGGAGTTTTCCTTTCTCAATTTCGTCTTTCACGAAGAAGTATCGCAGTGCGATATGTTTGGTTCTGTTGGCGAAGCCATTCTTGTTCGCGATCCGTATCGCGAACTGGTTGTCGCAGAAAAGCGAGAAGCTGGGTACTTTCGCAATTTTCGCTTCTTCCAGCAGTTCGCGCAGGTACAGGCCCTCCTTGGTAGCAGTGCAGAGAGCAATATACTTTGCTTCAGCAGATGATAGTGCGACGAGTTCCTGCTTACTTGATTGCCAGGAGATAGTTCCGACGGGCTCAAGACGGTAGATGTAGCCGGTGCGAGAGCGACGATCGACACGATCAGCAGCATGATCAGCGCCGACGTAGCCGAGTAGTTTTAGGTCGGTCGTCGTGTTCTTGTGATATGTTAAGCCAACTGTTGGCGTCGAGATGAAGTAGAGAAGGGCGCGGTTGAGTTCCTTGAGGTGACGTTGTTCTGGGCGCTTGAGGTAGGTCGCCAGTTGATTGGCGCTGTAGGATAAGTCCGGTCGGCACGTAACGGCGGCAAAGAGTAGGCACCCTAGTTTCTGTTGATATTCCTGGATTTCAGCAGGCGGCAGTGGGTTGGTTTCTTCGGTTGGATCGAGCGATAGGTGACTGTAAGGTGTTGCGACGTGCGTCGATGTGATGCAGAAGCGTTCGGCGATAGTGCTTGCGTATTCTGAGGCGCTGAGACGAATAGTGTTGTCTTCATCGAGGATGTTGAGCCCTAGATACTGCGTGACGTTGGGTGAGACTGTGAGGGAGAGATCTGTCTGAAGCTCCTTTTCGAACCAGGTGACGATGGTGGTAGTTGACCCGATGTAAAGCAAATCGTCGACGTAGACGATTAGCAGAACGTAGTCGTTGTCGCGAGTGAGACGATACATGCCCTGGTCATGGTGCAATTGGTTGAATCCGATGCGTTTGAGTCGTGCGTGCAGGTACTGCTGCCAGAGTCGCGGTGCCTGCTTAATTCCGTATAGTGATTTAAGTAGTTGGCAGACGAGGGAAGGGTCGTCGACGAACCCGTCGGGCTGTTCGACGAAGATTTCAGCGTCGACTGGGGCGTATAGAAAGGCGTTGGCGACATCGATTTGTCGGAGTGGGCGGCGGCGTGAGGCGGCGATGGCGAGGAGTATGCGCAGGGAAGTATGTCGACTGACTGGTGCGAAGGTTTCAGTGAAATCGCGACCATACTCTTGGTCGAATCCGCGGACGACCCATCGAGCTTTAAACCGTTCGATGGTTCCGTCGGAGTTGGTTTTGATCCGGAATACCCATTTTCCGGAGAGAATGGGTTTGTCTTGTGCGAGTGATGCAGGGACGATCTTCCAGGTGTTGCGGTCTGAGAGCGCTTTTAACTCCTTTTCCATGGCTTCGCGCCATTTTTCTTTGTGTTCCCCCCCCAGAGCCTGCTTGACAGAGCGAGGCTCTTCAGGTGGCGACGAAGGCCCATGCACTGCAGCGACGAGTCCCAGGACTTGAAGTCCGCTGGGGGTGTGACGATTCAGCAAGGGGTCCTCGGGATAGACTGCTTCGTCTCCCGCTTCGGGATCAGGTGCGAATCCGGGGCCGTATTGTTCAGAGATGTCGGTGTTGACGGGTTGGGGTGTTACGTAACCATTGTCGGCGAAATGGTAGTAGGCGTCGGCATTGTTACTGTCGCGAGGGTTTTCCTCGTCCATAGGGATTGGGACGGAGCAGTAAGGAAGGGGTCCAGCAGCTTCGGAGGCGCCGTCGACGTTCTCTTCTTCCCAGTCAGCAGCATCGGAGGGTGAAGCGAAGGCTCGGGAACCAGAAAATCCGCCGGTGGGGTCGACGTGGCGTGCGATGTTGTCCAGGTAATGGTTGAGGGTGAGTCGCTCGTAGAAGATAACGTCACATGCTGCTACTGTTTCCTTTGTGTGGACGTCGAAGATTCGCCATGCTTCGTAATGTTTTGCCAGTCCGAGGTGTAGACCCCACTGTGCACGTTGCGAGAATCTCCCTGCACGTGCAGTGTGTGGGCGGTACTGTACCATACACCCAAAAACTCGTAACATTTTTGTGTTGCCCAACTTCCCAGTCCACAACAGGTGCGGAGATGCGTTGTTGGGCAGTGAAGACGAGGACAACAAGTTGTGCAGGAGGACAGCGTGGTCCATCGCTGCTGGCCATTCTGAGTTGGGCAGTCGAGTTCCACGTAGCAGCTTTCGCATGGTTGTGTGCAGGGTCCTGTTCATCCTTTCTGCCACACCCTGCTGTTGGTGAGCGTAAGGAAGAGAGATGAGGCGTTTGATGCCTCTTTCTGCCAAGAACTGTGTGAAGCTGTTGGACTGGTACTCCTTTGCGCCATCTGACTGAAAACTCTTCAGTTTCGCTCCTGACTCTCTTTCAGCGACAGGTAGCCAGGCTGTGAAGGCTTCTAGAGCCATGTCTCGTGACGGTAAGTTGACGTGCCGGACATATCGCGTTGCAGCGTCAATGAAGGTGATGACGTAGTTCAGATCTTCACGTCCTTCAGTTCGAGGTATGTATAGTATGTTGCTGTAGACTTTCTCGAGTGGTTGATAAGCGGGGGCGCTCGGATTGTGGTGTGACGGGAACGGTTGGTGAGGCAGATCTGCTTCCGGGCAGATGAAGCAGGTGCCGCGTGGTCGTTCGAGTTCACGTCCGTTGGGAAGAAGTAGGGCGTTCTTGTCTAACACTCCGGCTCGTATTGTATTGTAGAGTGTTGTGTTTCCAGGATGTCCAAGACGTTGATGCCAGATGTCTTCGGAGGCGTTGTGACCTACGGAGCGTCGATAGAAGTCTGCGTTAGCGAAGAAGGCGGCGTGTGTTGCTGCACTTCGATGAACGGCGCGTGGTGCTGGCGTTAACTGTTGGGCGGCTGTTGGTGGCGTGTCGATGATGAGAGGTGGAGGTGCGACGGAGGGACTGAGCTGTGGAGTTTCGGAAGGTTGTTCCGCGACGACGGTTGGTTCTTCAATTGCAGGTTCGGTGGTTGTTGGTGTTGTGACGGGTGCAGTTGTTGTTTCGATGACGGGTGCTGACTCAGGTGTTGTGGCTTGTGTTTGCAGGACGGCAAGCGCGTTGGTGCGTTCAGCTTCGGGAATGGTACGAGAGTACCAGAAGCCTTCAGGACTGAAGTTCGGGTCGAGGTCTGGCAGATGCGTCCAAGGTGCGAGAGCGACTATGCCGTCGCTGTCTGCGGTGCCTTTGTCGGGGACGAAGTCGAGGACGAACA